CCATTTGTTTGTCTGTCTTCAGTCATCTACATTATAACAAAGCCACCTGTAGGAAAAGGATTTTGCAAACCACTAGCAGCACCGTTCAGATACACTTTAGCCCTCGCTCACACATGGTCATTTTGTTGCTTGTTTTTGTGCATTTCCCTACGCAAGATGATGCTCAACATCAGAATCCCATTATTTCTGTTGTGGCTGTTCCCTTCTCTATTCGCAATCACTTGGAGCTCAAAGCTCAAAAAGGTACAGCTTGACACAAGCATTTATCTTATGTGCCTCCAACAAACATGTTTTGCAGCACACCACCACTAGTGATGGGCCGAACAACGAATTTGAACTTAAGAAAAAGAAAACAGTTTGAATTTGAACTCAAACTCAATGCAAGTCTATGGGGCTAGATTTTAACATCACTTAAAGGGAAACAATAACAATGAAAAATTCCTTTAAATATTGTGCCTGGGGAGTTCCCATACACTGCCTGTACATCTGTACGGTGTATAGAACCTGCTGCAGCAAAAATGACATTTAAAAAGAAAAAACAAAAAAAGCGTGCGGTTCCCTCTCCCACACGACAACAAACCCTTTAGGTCTGGTAGGAATGATGTTAGGAGGGCCCCTATTTAAAAAAAGAAAGCATGGGGTTCCCCCCAAAAGTCATACCAGACACTTACGGTCTGGTAGGAATTTTAGGAGGGACTCCATGTAAAAAAAAAAGTGTATGGGGTTCCCCCTCAAAGTAATGCCAGGTCTGGTAGGAATTTTAAAATGAGTTAAAAAGAATGTGGGGTCCCCTCTAAAATTCCATACCCCTAATCCGAGCACAGGCCTGGCAGGGCAGGGCAGGAAAGGGGGGGACGAGCGACCTGCCCCCTTCTCCCTCCCATACCAGGCCACATGCCCTCAGCACTGGGAGGGTGCTTTTTCCAGGTGCAACCCTGGAAAATCACCTTGTGCCCGTGCCGATGGCATGGGGCTTATTCACATCAGGTACCCCTTTAATAAAGGGGCACCCAGTTCCTGCCCCCCCTTGTGAATGAGTATGGGGTACTTGTACCCCTACCCATTCACAAAAGGGTTAAATAAAAGTTTTAAAAGAAGAGGCCAGACTTTTGAAAAAATCCTTTAATTGAAAAAAAAACAAAAGGCAAGTTTTTGGCAAGTCTTTTATTGTAAAAAAAATTTGATAAAATGATGTAATCCAGGGTCAATCACGATGTCCAGGGTTGTCAATGATGACTCAACGTAATAACAAATAAAACAATAAAAAAGGAATAGAAATAATAAAACAAAAACAAACGACGCCCGCCATCCCGTCCACTTGCGACGATCTACCTCCGCAGAATAGCATTTTGACAGATGCCAGCAACATATAAACAATTGACAGCTAGCTCTGCCCAACTGTTTACAGTTATATGGCATCTGACTGGTGAGCCATGATTGGGCAAAGTCATCATGGCTCTTACAGAGTACTGCGCCCTGAAAGTTCATGTGTTCATGTGAACTGCCGATGTTCAAGTCGAACTCACGATCGACTCAAACATTGAGCCCATGCCTAACCACCACTGTGCGTTGTGGTGTGCTGCATTGGATGTCTGATGTTTTTGATGCATTGGCAGCCCATTTATTCAAATGGGTTGCTGCAATGTTATTGCTGCAAAGTGGAAGTATAGTCAAGAATGCCACTAGTCCTCATCTAAAACATATAATACATAATCTTAATCGTTGGAATGCACATCCACCAAAGGCTTTTCCTTCCCAAGATATTGTTGTTATTGTTCCTGATGGCCAGCATATGCACACTTCTATGCACATTCACAGCATCCTGGCAGTGCCATGATGTGAAGAACACCAATGCTGGGGTGACATCATCAACTATCTCTGGCAAATGAACTTGTGTATGTTTACTTCCTGATGTCAGTGGAGAGTGGAGAAGCGATAGGGGAATGAAGCATGGAGACATACACAAAATAGCCTCGGCTTGTAGAAATTTTTGGGGGAGGGCGGCTTACAAAAAAATGTAAGGTCTAAAATACAGATCTTCTGAGCATTTATTATTAATTAGCAGAAAGACTTTACTACGTCTTTTAAAGAAACCACCTCATATTTTAGCACACAAGGGTATTAAGCCCCATACACAAAGGTCGCCGGTGATTCTTGCCATCGGAGCTATATGCTGCATGCACTCAGTGTATGTGAACAACCGTGGGCAGCAGTGGTGGCTGTTATTTTGTACTTTTGGCTGCACACAAACTGGCTGCAACTAATCAACCAGTTGATATCCAGCCATAATACAGAATGCAGCTGCATCCAGAGGAAGCATTTATCTGCCTCTGAATGTAGCAAACTATCTGCCCCAGATTGGCAATCTTAATCAGGCTTTCTACTGTGGACGTGGAGTCACACATACCTTGCCTAGGAGATATGAGCTGTAACAGTCTCCCTATTAACCTGTGCGTGAAATGTCATGACATTAAGTCTGACCCTGACCTGCTTGAGACCATTTAGAGGCAAGAAGGACTCTGTAGTGTACGGGAAACATGTGGTGGCAGAACACTGAAGAAAAGCTGCTGTGAGCATGTTTTTATAAATATTAACAACTGCCTAAAGGAAGGCAGCTTCATAAAACTGTACATAAACATGTAAAAATATAAGACTGTGTGTTCAGATATATGTTTAATGCGCTGTGATGTGAAGGCAGTTCTTGACTCTGAAATGCTTTTATTCGTGAGTACATAACACATGCCTTTGAGATTACCAGAGAAGAATCTGTAAAGGGCAAAGTTGTAAAACTGTGTCTGACTAATTACAGTAAGGGTGGGATAGTGTTTAAACAGCGTGTGTTTTTGTACATTCCCTTGTCAGAATATAAGCTATAGAGCCATTCCTCATGCAGTCTTCAAGGCAAAAGGTTGTTGATTTCGATGTTCTAATACTAGGATTCCCAACTTTTTTTGCCATTGGGGGAAATTATCAAAACTAGACCAGACAGAATCTGGAGCAGTTGCCCATAGTAACCAATCAGCTTCTATCTTCAGTTTGTTCAGTTAAGCTTGGAAATGAAAGAGAGAAGTTGATTGGTTACTATGGGTAACTGCTGCAGATTCTGCCTGCTCCAGTTTTGATAAATTCCCCTCAATGTATCCCTTTATTACAACATACATTTTCCAAGTACCTCATGATTGTGCACACTGATTGTTATACCCTCTAAATGTATCTCAGTCTTTTACAGCTAACCCCATAGGCTTTTAAAACAATTTGTGCACAATTTACTACTAACTATACTTTCAAACCAGAGCACTATTATCATCATTATATTTTGCACAGTGTTCTTAGCCTACAATTGGAAAGGACAGTCAGTCAGCTGTTCTGTTAGCTACATTCCAGCCAAGCCTTTGAAGGACAGTAAGGCCAAGAAATGTGATGTGTCAAAGAAAGGTCTGTTCTTGAGATGTTTAACTTCTAAAATAAAAAAATCTCCACACTGTTATGTGTGAGTGGGTGATATAATTAGGGAAACTCTTACCACAATGTACAATACTACTGCTAGGATGGAAGATAACACAATGCACCGCACTTTTCTGGAACTGAAAGAAACTAGCACAACTGAACAGTGATATCGTCTTCTTGACCACATGATTTCATTGCTTCTCCTTGTAGTTGTGTATAAATATGTAGGCTTCGGAACCATTCTCAGAAATGTACGAAGCCTGAAGAAGGGGTCTAAGAAATCCCAAAAGCTTGCTTTTTTTATTAATATAGGTTAGGCAATAACATAGCTCCCAACTTGAGATAGGAAAGAGGGACACATTATACTGCAAAGTGTGTAGGCAAATGACACACCCCTTTCATGTCCCCAATTGCATGAATCATGATTAATTTAGGGCACAAACATTTTTGGATGAACCCTTTTAGTGCTTTTTTTTACCACTACTTTATCTTTATAATGGCTTTTAAAATTAACAAATGCAATCATTTGGAGTTTGGATGAAAGGTTTAGTGTAGTATAACACATTTGGTTGTTAAATAGTAAAGTTATATAGAACTCAGACGAAAAAGAGGGGCAAATAAGGAGGAAAGAGGGACAGAAGGATTTGTTTCCAAAAGAGGGAATTATAGGAGGTATGCAATAAAGAGTTTACTTAAACTCCAAACTTTCTACATCTTGTGCAAAATAAATACAGGAATACAAATATTAAAATGTTCTGTGTTCACTGCACCGGTGCTTATAGTATATCTAAAAGCCCCTGTCAGGTTTTTTGGGGTTTTTTTTTGGCTACTGTGTCTCATTCTGGATATTTCCCTTCACTTCCTGTCCTGTTGACTAAACAGTGGAAAAGGATATCTTTCCAGTCCGAGAATAATCTCTATATACACAGGAACAAGTGTCCCCATTGGAAGATTTCCCCCCCAGTTCTGCTCTTGTGGTAACTCAAAATTTTGGATTTACCGTGATATTGGTGATCAGGACAAGGGACACAGACAGCAATTAAAACTGAAAAAGGCTTCTAACTTTCACCACTATACTCAAATCCTAAAAAAGAAAAGTTTTGCCTTTAGCTATATTGTAAGGACACATTCACACGGGCAATTAGGATCTCCAGCTGCAAGAATCAGGGATTCTTTCAAGTGAAAAAAAATCAGCCCTATCCTTTTGCTGCCACCAATGTATGGCATACGGCAGAACACAGCCGCTTTCAGCTGGCCACCGCAGTATGCCATAGGTCAGTGGATTTTACTCTTCTGCTATAAGCTAATGGTCACTTTAGCAACCATGAATTTATACCAGAAGGGTTCTCCTGACTCCTGGTTCTCCTGAGAAGCCACCAATGACAGCTATTAACAAAAATCCCCCCCCCCCCCCCCACCACACACAAACCATTCCTCCATGCAGATCTTCTCCACTTTTTAAGCGGGAGAACTTGCACAACTGGTGGCTGACTAAATACTTTTTTGCCCAACTGTACACCTGCAACAGGGCGCATCGTATTGTGGTGTACGCCATGGACATGTTCTGCGGTGCGTTGTTAGAACGCGGTGCAGTGCTTGATTTTTTCTTTTTAAAATAACATTAATTTAACTGTGTGGCAGCGCATGGCAAAGCATTGTGACACATTGCCGTGTATTGTGATACGCTGTGTTGCAATTAAATGTACGCCAATATCATTTTTATCACAACAAACACACCAACACAGCACACAAACGATTTTTAACATAAGTTGCTTATTTACAGTTGTGCATTACTTCATTTTTTTTTTACTGTTTCGCAAAAAGGCACAATTTAAAATGTACAACTATTTGTTCTTTATTAACGCAATACAGTTTTATCTTTTAGATTTAGTCGGAAAAGTATTTTTTTTTGTGCACTGATGCTGATTTTAGTGTGCTAAAGGACGGTGTCACCATAAATTCCGAGATGATTTGAGGATCTACAGCTGAGTGATACACAAATAAGTTACATTTTTGTCATTGGCTAAGGTACTTAAATACATTTTTAAGATTTAACTCCTGACTTTAGTGTCACTTTAAATCTGAGTGCTGTGTAATCCAATGTACTACTCTTAACGTGTCAAGTGTAAGGCCCTTTCACACAGGCAGTCTGATCAGATCCACCTCTCAGTTTTTCAGGCAGACCTGATTGGAAACCCAATGTAGCACTACATGTGTCTGTTTACATCCGATTACCTCCAAGTATGTCTAGGTCTGAAAAGAGTTCAGTTTTGGCGCAACTGGCCGTGATGGATCGGAGGTAACTTGATTGGGTGGTTTTGAATCTGACCGGTTCATGTGACACAATGGATACATAAGGCTTTATGGGAGGAGCTTGGAACATGTTTGGAAATACCTCTTCTGCATTAAATAGAGCTAAGAAAAAGGGGTTCCCAAATCACTTTATTCTTCACAGTAATGCTGATGCATTATGTCTGACTGAAAAATGGTGTACAGTCAGGTAGGCTGTGGCTAAATCTTGCATATTAGAGTAAACTTTTTTTCCGATATTATTCAGATGACCGCTTGGGTGTATTTACTGTTTATTTTCCTAATTTGTATTATATAAGCTCCTACCGAGTAAAGTCTTATATATCTCTCTCTTATTTGTCTGCAGCAAAGAAGCTGAACATGAAAGTGCATATCAATATGACCAGTGACACACTGACTATGAAATTTCACCGTCCAAACCAAAGCATCAAGTTAGATGGATTTATTCTTGGATATGGCAGCAACTATTTCTCGAACCAGTATTTTCAGTGGCCAGAAAATGGAAAGTCATATGTCACAGATGTGGGTAAGTGTTTATCTGAGAAATGGAAGATTAAATGGATTGCGGAGTCCCCAGTCTTCTATTTTTACATGTTTTTGTTTAGTTGTCAGTGCAAGAACAGTGTCAATGCATTTTCCTGCTATCCAGTGAGCCGTTAGAGAGATTTACAATCACATCCTTTCTTGCTGACAATGGTTTCACCAGACAAGCAAGTGCCAGAAATATCTGAAACAAGAACACAGACAGTGATAACTAATCAACAAGGGTTTCAGTCTTCCCCCACTTTGATACAGAAAGTGTGTCTCTTTCTGTTTGTATTGCTTTTGAATAGTTCCCTTTACCTGTATGGTACAACATTATCATCAGGACAGAAAGTGAGGGGGAATCTCTCAAACACTAAAAAAAGACACATTTGGAGGAGATTTCCTTTGTGCTGCCATCTTGCTCTAAATTGATGGGCATCCTTGGAGGTCAGAGACGTGTATCCCAGGAATGAGTAACTCCTACATAGCCCCCTGCTTCCTATGGTAGCAAAGGCCTGTAACCGAATGCTCTATCACACTTATTAAGTACCCATGCCTTATCCAAATGTTGGGAGATATGCAGTGCAAATATGCACTGCAAAGTGCTTATCTGTTTGCAGGGACTTATCAGCTTGCAGGCATTTGTAGTTTTTCAACTAGAGAGCTAAGGCCTTTTTGACAACTCATGTTTGTATTCCCAAGGCTATGTGTTTATCATACCTGACAACTTTCTGACATGGGAAAGAGGGGCATATTATAGCACAAAATAAGTAGGCAAAGGGCACACCCCCACCATGCTTCTATTAACATGGACCATAAAAATGTACGCACAAAAAATGTTTGGTTTAACCCAAAATTGCTTTCTTCATCACTACTTTTACTTTATTTAGTTTTTTCAAAATAACAAATTGAATAATTTTAAAGGTTGAATAAAAGATTTAATACTGTTAAACACATTTGGTAGTTAAATAACACATTTTCTTATACATCTGCACATCAGAACAAAAAAAAGGAACAGCTGAGGAAGTAAGAGGGACAGAGGTTTAGTTCCAAAAGAGGGTCAGCACCTTCAAATAAGTGACATTTGGGAGCTATGGTTTAGTAGTCACCATAAGTTCCTGACTTCCAGGGACAGTCCTGCTCCAAGTCCCCAGTGTGTCAGATTTTTCTTGACAATATCTGCAGTATACTGGTCAATTACACTATACTAATCGAAGTTGCATTTAGTTCTAATTAATGTCTTAGGGCCCAGTCACATCATTATGTTGCACTAACCGCACAAGATGCCTGTGTTTAGCTCATGCTATTGCACAATGCACAGTACGGCATGGCAAGTGTGCCTGTGCATTGCATTGCCATTCATATGAATGGCATCCCAATGCAGCCCCCAGAATGCGTGCTTTATTGCACAATGCATTGTACCACAATACAATGCACTGCATTGGCATACGGTGAAAAAAAGTAATACATGCAGTCTGCATTCAACTTCCACAGAGCCAGTTTCATCTGATTCAGAAAAGGTTAGCTGCAGAACCCACCTATCTGTCAACACTTCTTCCTGGGATGAAGGAAGTTCTCCACAGCCATTTGTGTGTTTTTTCAGAGTAGTATCTGTCCACTACAGGACTTCAGGGATTTCTCTTTAACTGACAGTGTACCTTTACACTTGATCGGTGAACAAACAACAGCAGGAAAATTCTAGTTGACAAAACAGCCAAATCATTAGGGTTTTGCATCCATTGGCTAGGAGAGTAATGAATATAGCAACTGTGATTTACATTTATTTAAAATATTCCTGTCGTATTCTGTTTATTTATTTTGTATTATTCTTCTGGCTTTTATACTACCGTAAATTTGTTCATGGTGCTTGAATGCTCGAACATTATTTAACACGATATTTCATTTAGAGCACCCATTAGACACTTTTGGCTTATTGATCATTAGTGCCAAGGGCTGCTACAGCAGTAGACTTCAGTATTAAACTGAACAAACGGCCCCTAACAGACATGGAACAACTGGGATGGAGGGAAAATCGGGAGCCAGGTGACATAGTCCAGCTCCTCAGATAACATCTCGAAATATCAGGTGACATCTGAGTTTTTTTCGAGTGACTTGACAGGTCTGATTTTGTTCCCCAGAATACGTATATGCTCACTCCACAATTGTCAGCATTTAAATGATGTTGTCATTTCACTTTCTGCACAAGTCCACTCATTAATATAAGCTAGTAAAAATAAATCATATCTTTCTGTTTTGTTAAAAATAGTGATAATAGTTATAACTAATAAATATTCCTTTTGTTTAGTAAAGTCTAATTGTCTATGGTCTTTCATCCGGCATTGCAGTTCCCATAGCCCATTTCTCTTTACATTGGGAACTTTTGGAGATGATTTTAATGGGTAAGAAGGTCTATACTTGTTAAAGTCTGAAATGTTTATATAATGTCCCTTGCAAATGGATAATGTACCTGCTACTGTAAATTACGTTCATAACCATGTAAATCCACAATGCCACAGAGCAAATGCCTATAAAGGTCACAGAACTTTGAGCTGGCTCTTATTATTTTTAAAATGATACTTAGTTAAAGGGATGTAAAGTATTTGATAGAATACAATAACATAAAATAACAAATAAAGACTGCAAATGTATCTGCAGACTGTTGTAGATGAACAGACAATGAGACACAAGCAGATAATTAAAATTAAACTCCCTCCATGATACTAGCAGTCAACCCTGCCTCATTTAAAACATTACGCACTTTTCATTGTCATTTTGGCAGAGCAATTCCTCAATTACTGAACAAAGTTTAGTAGTATTCAGACTGTAAATATGTAAACTGTAGTTCCTCCCTTTTGAAGTAACAAGCAGATGCACAGCTTTGATCTTCTTCCAGTTTAATGCAGGAGCATGAAGGATGTAGCTGGGTCCCCTGCACATCCACCAGGTCTTAGGCTTTTGACAAGGTTGCCCTGTGGATGATGTTACGATGCCATGTTAAAATCCCCCATCACAATCCTGTGCCTGATTTGTGGCTAAAATGAATAAGTAAATAGATGAATCAGGACATAGCTGTGGTAGATCTAGTGCTCATGGTAAGGTATTTTAGTTTGGTATGTTAAGAAGAATTTGATTATGCCTGTCTCTTTAGAACCCTGATTAGAAGACCTCACCACTTGTATCACCAGCTTTGCTTCCCCTCTAACAACCATAGTCTTAATATTCTTACTCACCTTGAGGCCAGTGAGGAACACTTGTGATACAGTGGCTGAATTATCAAGAGAAACACATAGAAAAGCCTGCTGGTGAACACTGGCAGCATCATTTTACACTGAAGCTGAATGAACGTTTTAGGACAACAACCAAGGAAAAGGGATACAAAATGTGTATGTTTGGGTGGGCTTTAAATTCAGCTGCAATGCAACCAGCTTTCACATCCAGAACACACAACACCTGTTGTTTCTGGCTACAACAGGATCCATTTTTGCCCCTGGAGTATTTTGCTGTTCTAAGATATATTCATATGAGCTTTATATAGGGTGTTGGGATAGATTATAGTTATGGAGTTAATTTGATGTTAATTTGACGTATCCTATTAATTAATGTTTACTGTTTTCTACAGCTTTTGGTTCCAAAATTCATCTGCAATATATGGAAAAATGTCATACATGTAAACCAAAAGGTATACAGAATGCATCTTAGTCATTGCATCCACTAAATTAGCTCTTTGAAGATGTACTGAGAACTGCAGTCAGGGTACATAAAACATGCGCGTGCCTGAATTAAAACTTAAGTGCCCCTGGGATGCAGATAAGGCATTACACCCATATGGAGACAAATGCAACCTATTCACAGTTCATGCACACAGCAAACTAATGCGCAATTTTGCCAAAGCAACCAGCTACTAATAATGCACGTCCTGGCTTTTCAACCTTGGTCACGTGGCTTAGAAGGCCCAATAATGGGAGCTTTGTCATGTGCCATTCCCCTCACTAAAAAGGGCGGTCCTAGCAGGCATGTGTCAGTATGTGTTGGAGTAGATAGGGAGAGTTTACAGTCTGCCATTAGGGAGAGTTAGTTGCTGCTATACAGTGCTATATCTCTAAATTGTCACAAGCTTGCTGGGAACCTCCGGGATGACAGCTCAGGAGCACTCCTAGGATGTGCGTCTGTTTGGAGGTCTTTTACTGTTAAAAATTCTGGACACAAATACTACACAGTTGAAAAATTATGCAAAATATCTACCGTCATGAACAAAAACAAGCAGCGGGAGCGATCGGTAATTGCATCCAAGGCAGATTAGTAACAGCCACTAGTGATTTGGGAGCCTCACACGATCGCTCTCAAATCACTTTGATTGACTGCATCAAGGCTGTGTGTTTAAACACCGTGAGGGGAATTTATCAAAACTGAAGCAGACAAAATCTGGAACAGTTGTGCATGGTAACCAATCAGCTTCCCTGTTTATTTTGTTCAGTTAAGATTTAAAAATGAAAGAGAGAAGATGACTGGTTGTCATGCACAGCTGCTCCAGATTTTGTCTGCTCCAGTTTTGATTAATTCCCCTCCATGTTTTTAGTAATTTGTTGCTATTTCAGTCTGTAAGTCAGTTACGTAGGTAGATAGGTAGTACATTATATAAAAACATAATTATGTTTGTAATTTAGTTTGAAGGAGGGATATGCCTTCTTGGCATCCGACTCACAGCACTGACACTACTCAGATTTTGACGTAGGTTAGTTTACTGTCACATCCACTGACATGCCATTTGTTAGTGAGCTGGCGACTAAAAGAAGCTGTGTTACCCCCACTACCACTAATGTGGAGGAGGATTGGGTACCAACCTCTGTCACTCTACAAATCACCCCCAGTATGACAGGCTTTATAAAATATGCCCCCTGGTAACACATCTGCAAAAAAAATTGGCTGAAGTATATACCACACAAAAAAATATTTCAATAGATGAATCACTCATGAAGTACAAAGGGCGATTAGGATTCAAAC